GGCATCGAGACAAGATTCCAAAGCACAAGATAGCATCCAAGTTTCACTACCATATAGTAAAACTGGCAGTATTAGGGCCTTGAAAACTTGTAGCTTGGTCCTTCTGCACAGATACCAGCATCTCCAAATACTCTTGTTGAGAGATTTCATGACCCCTGCTACTGACTTCCTGGTCTGACAGCCCAGAGTCATGAACTGCACTACCGAGGTATATAAAACTAATAACTATATACATTATTCATATGAAATATAATTGCTCACAGTAATCCATATATACAATATAAAAAATACAAAAATATTTGACCCAATGTTTACCTGTTTATCAGATATCAAGAAATTTTGCAATAATATCATATTCATAATAGGTACCTTTATATAATTTCTTGGCGTGTGCACATGTGTGCCCACGCACACAAGCGCACACACACACACACACGCACTCACACACGCACGCACACACACACACACACACACACACACACACACACACACACACACACACACACACACACACACACACACACACACACACACACACACACACACAAAAAAAAAAAAAAAAAAAAAAAAAAAAAAAAAAACGGAAAATTTACTATTAAACAAAAAATAGATTCTAGTACTGAGTAACTAATTATACTATAGGATCAAAAATCTCCAAACAATGATTCAGCATCAACACTGCTGAGCAGATCTCTAACTTCCTTTTCATCAGTTTCCTGGATCTGCATATTGCTATTGAGAAAAAAATCACAGCGACCACTGCTTGCTCTGCCAGATGCTGTGGCTGCATCCTGATGGCCTGTTGGCCGAAAGGAGAATGGTTTGCTCTGTGATGAACTAGTGTTTTGAGTTTGTTGTGCTCCAAGCTGTGGTCTTTCAGGTCTAGCAGTATAATTTCTGCTCATGACTGGAGTTGATACTCTTGGGTGACTGAATTGAAATCCCCTTGATTGAGGAGAGTTTGCAATGCCAGGCAGAACTGAACTGACTCCTGACTGCAACCTCGGACCATTTGCACTGAGAGTATGTGTTAAATTATTCTTGCTCGGCACTCTTGGACTGAAATTCTGGACCGAGTTGTTGCCACCTATTTTTGGAGGCCTATAATTTGGCAATTGTTTTTGATTTAATGACACTTGATTGGGGTGGAGTGAATTTCTAGCAAAAGAATCATTCATGGAAAAAAGGGACTGATTATTATTCAATGACATATCCATTATTTCATCCTCTTCCTCCTCCACAATTGCTCTTGAACAGGCAGCAGTTTTGGGAGCAGCTGCTTCATTATATAACTCATTCTTGTCTACTTCACTAATCAGTGTTCTGACAACATTTCCAGAATCATCTGGAGTATAGATGGTAACAACAGTATTTAGGGTAATATTGAGATAGTGCTTCCGTAGGTGTTCTCTTGAAGTGGTTCTTACGCCAACAGGAGACAGAACAGTGACCCCGCGCAGAAGCAAGACAGACCCGGTTTGCAGCACAGGTCCATACTCCTCCATCACGGAACTTGCAATTGTGGCATTCATTTCACCTGGAAAGTACAGGTTATAAATTTCACTTAACTTTTACATATACTGCATGTACAACAAATACACATTTTATTGTTTTGGTAAGGTTATTTACCAAACTGACAAACTAGTATGAACCAGTACATTTTCGGCAAAACTTCTTCCATTAAACTGTTCCATAACATTTTGCATGCTAATAAAACTAGCAAATATAAAGGTCATGATTAATTTTTAATATACAATCAAACAGGACTTACAATTAACCCATTGGTGCCGGGGAAAATGAACAAAAAATGGGGAAAATGCTGTGCCTATTTTCTATATTTTTCGTGAAATGTCTGCTGATAGATGGCTCTGCTAGTGCCTGATTTGAAATGGCGGGAAAAACGTATATTTCACTAGTAACATGAATATCGATGGTGTTATTTTCATTATAAACATTATAATTTTTATGATGTTTTTTAACATTAGTAACAGCAAAATAAGATAACGTAAAATATTTTGTAAATCAAAGAAAAGGGTGAACGGGCGAGACAGGCGGTACTCGTAACTGGCTCGTTGGTGACTTAGTACAAGTGTAGCCATCTATATGTAAAAACAATCCAACAAGTAATCTCACAGTGGGCATGGCATGGCATGCCCGTCGGCAATGGGTTAAAGTGCAACTAACATGAAACATACAACTGAAAAAATTGCAAGTCTTTATAATGAAACCTATATCAATAACCTCAGGTTATAACCATCAATAACTTTTTTTTTCATTCATGCCATTTTATATATAAATTTTTGAAATGTTTCTAGAAACATAAATATATGATACATGGACATGTAACATTAGTTCTTGTATTTGGAAAATCAGATTAATTGCTAGTGTATTGTTTAAACTCACAAAAGTTAAAGACATTTACAATAAATACCTTAGAGCAATGTGTTTTGTGTGTGTGTGTGTGTGTGTGTGTGTGTGTGTGTGTGTGTGTGTGTGTGTGTGTGTGTGTGTGTGTGTGTGTGTGTGTGTGTGTGTGTGTGTGTGTGTGTGTTTGTGTGTGTGTTTTGTGTGTGTTGCATTGTGTGTGTGTTGTGTTGTGTTGTGTTGTGTTGTGTGTGTGTGTTGTGGTGTGTTGTGTGTGTTTTGTTGTGTGTGTGTGTTGTGTTGTGTTGTGTTGTGTTGTGTTGTGTTGTGTTGTGTTGTGTTGTGTGTGTGTTGTGTGTGTGTTGTGTTGTGTGTGTGTTGTGTGTGTGTGTTGTGTTGTGTGTGTGTGTTGTGTTGTGTTGTGTGTGTTGTGTTGTGTGTGTTGTGTTGTGTATGTGTGTTGTGTTGTGTTGTGTTGTGTTGTGTGTGTGTGTTGTGTTGTGTGTGTGTGTTGTGTTGTGTGTGTGTGATGAGTTGTGTTGTATGCATGTGTTGTGTGTATGTGATGAGTTGTGTTGTGTGCGTGTGTTGTGTGTGTGTTGTGTGTGGAGTGTGCCTATGTGCATGTGTGTGTTTGTGGTTGTGAGTGAGTGAGTGAGTGGGTGTACGAGTGCCTGTGTGTGGGAGTATTCTTACTTAGTTGTTTCAACAGAGTACCTAAGCTCAGATGGTCCATATGCTATATGTAAATTATTGTAGGACATTTTAAATTGATGCACATTTTTGGCATACACAATGATAATTAGAAGACTGTTAAATGTTTCAACAGTTCTGTTTGGGAAACAGAACTTTTTGACATCTTTCTTGCATTTTTACTTTCAATTTTTTACTGTGTAATCTTGCTCTAACTTCACTCTTCCTGTAACTTTGTTGAACAGCAAAACCATGTCATACCCCTTCCAAAGTAGTAAACCCTATTTTCTGTAGCCTCTCTACGGCTGCTCTTTGAACTCTTTCCAATTGTCTATATCCTTTTTCAACTCCATACCACTGCACCATACTCTAGACTTGGTCTTATGATTCAGTCATGAATATCTTCATCATTCACACACAAACGTCCTCTTCACATTGGCAATCAGCCCTAACAATTTATGGACCTTTTCATTTATGTGATCATTTGGGCTTAGGTCTGCTGGGTGTAATACTGCATCTCCTAATTTGTATTGGTATAGTGGATGATTTTTACTTTCTCCAAATTTATTGGTGCTGAATTCGATTTTCCAAGTACAACTCTACATGAATAAGTTCTCAATGTCACTTTGAAGACATTAGCATGAGATGTTGTCTATTATCTTGTTTTGTAATTTCTCGTCATCTGCAAATTTATTCAGTAACTACCTGGGCTTATGTTTGACCCTAAATCATTCTTGAAAATAGTAAACCAATCCTCGAAATACTTCACTAATTACTCATCACCTATAATTAAGGTGCTCCTATGTCTTTCATGAACAAAGTGTTTTAGCCATTTGAGGAGTTTGCTTTTCACTCCACCTAGGTGTCCTAATTTCCATAACATTCTTCTATGTTTTATGACATTTTATCATATGTCTTTTTAAAATCTAAGGATACACAATACACCCAGCCATCTCTTTCTTGTAATATTTCATAAAAATGGAGATTTACTATAGATGACTATTAGATTACTATAGATTACTATTAAGACCAAATTGTTTATTTGATATCATATCATGTTTTTCAAGTACTACAGCCCACTGTTTCCTAATTATCCTTTCTAACAGCATACATACTACACTAGTCATTGAAACTGGTCTATAATTTAGAGGGTTTTGTTTATCACCAATCTCATATAAAGGTGTAACACTGGTTTTGGTAGTTTTCCTTGTCTCAATGACTTTTGGAATATTAACAATAACAGAGTACATAGTTCTTCGGCACATTCCCTAAGAACCCATTTAGAAATCTCATCTGGTTCCTTTGCTTTAGTCTCGTCTAACCCTTTCAGTAGGTCTTTTATTTCATTCTTACGATATTTTTGATATTCTGATTTACATTTTATGGTTACTTGCCATTTGAGAGTGTGGTTCCTGATTAAACATTGACTGAAATTTCTCATTAAGGAGTTCACACATTTCCTTAGTATAAACAATGTTATTGTCTTTGATGACACTATTTTGATCTCAAGTTTTAGTCTTACTAATTATATAGTTAAGAAAGAGTTCTGGTTGATTTGTACATTTATTGATTATATCCTTTTCAAGGTCTAATTTTACCTCTCTCATGGTTTGGTGGTTGATGGTCAATGGTTAAAAGCAAAATATAAATGTGCTAGACATCTAAGGTCATGTAGCACTATAGAAGATATAGTATTAGAAATGTTAGAGAGGGGGGTTGAGTTAGTGATTAGTTGCTATACGTCAACAGTTTGGAGTAGTACTGGAAAGGGTAATGATGGGTAAAGGATGCGATGTGTGCAGGCTGCAGTAAAACAACAGTGTGTGTGCATAATTTTGCCAGCTAGTTGCTTTACTGTGCCAGATTGTACAATGAAGACAGGCAGATGCTCTTCTAACATATTGGATCCTGTTGCATCACAGCAATCATATCACCAAAAGGTTTTAAATGAACGGCCACTCTGCTGGGTGACTGTTAGTAGGCCAGGCGCATGCGCGTGGTGACAAGACTCTATGCTTCCTATTTGCAAAGTTATTTACTCTTTTTACGAATAAGCATTTTTAGCTTTTTGGCCATTTTCCAATGTCCATATCTACCATTTGATTTGTATTATCCAGATGGTAAGTTTTTTCTTTGCACAGACTCCAATCATCTCTCTAGGTAGAAAAATAAAAAAACTATGTAACATTATGTTACTTTTTTCATTTTTAAGAGTTTTTACATCATATAGAAATATGATACTGAGCATGGAGACACCGCTCACAGACATTCCACCATGGAACACACTTGGAGGTATAAGGTCTTGAGGTTTGGAGAAAGGCTGTATAGGCAGTTCTTAGAATTGTAACTGTGAAACATTGTAGCATATCTGGATGAGATGGGGAGTGGAGGGGTAGGAATAGCAGAGAGTGAAGTGAAAATAGTGAAAGTGGGACATGTAAAGTAGGAGAAAGGAGGACTGAAAAGTGGTCACTATAGGGAAAATGGTCTAGAACTGACAATGGAAGTCTAAATGGAGAGAAGGGGAGCACAGAGAGAGATCAAGGAATGAAAATGATTACATGGGCATGTAAAGGGTGTGGGGCGATCTAAATTAAGAATAATAAGGAAGTGTTCTAAGGATCAGCCATGGGAGGTAGTGCTGGAACCACCCCAAAGAGTGTGGCAACAATTAAAATCATCAAGTTTCAAAGGCAACAAAGTTAATGGCATGGGAGGAGAAGTAGACTGGAATAACTGTGATCCAGCCGTGAAGAAAGATGTAAATATATGTGCAAGAGACAGTGGTTTGAAAGGGAGGTATAACATAAGGTGGATAAGTATAGGCAAGACATAAAGGGAGTGTGTGAGGAAGAGACAAAATGGTAATTGGGAACTGACATAGGAGGATGTGTAAGAAAAGTCTCTTAGGGGCAGATAATGGATGGGTTATACGAAGAAAGGATATGACAAAGGTCAGGTCTGTGAGAACAGAAACCATGAATATTCCAATGTAGGACAGCTATTATGAAGTTAATCTAAGAGTGATAACAATATGTATCAGAGCAGAACACTCTGAGTGTGGAGGGGATGGGAGTTGTGAAATTGGGGGGTGGATGAGGGGTTTCTGTGTCAATTTGGGACTGGAGTTGGTTGCAGATTTTTGAGAAACAAAGGTTTTCTTATGAGGGGGGGGGGGGAGACTGGTGTCTGGGAAGCTGAGGCAGAGGTAGGTGGAGGTGAGTGTGTGGTAGGAGAAAGAAAGAATGGAAAATTTACATTATTGGTGTAGAGAGTAACAGAAAAATCTCCTCAAAATGCTTCCTGTCTGGTTTCACGCAGAGTGAGGCCAAGTCCGAATCCCAGAGTTGCCACTTCAGACTAAAACTTGTAGGTGGGGCACTCCTATAAAATACATTTCAATTGACATGTGTGTAACTGTGCAGAGCAGTTCGATTGATAATGACCAGGTAAGGCTCATATAGGGCATTGCATCGTGGAATGGCAGTGCTCGGCAGGATGCTCTAGACACCAATAATTCTGACACTGAGGGAGGAGGTTGATATGGTTGGACTGGGAGGGCTTCTACGCTAATGAAAACATTAATTGGGAGGTCATGTCTACAGAAAGTTACCTTGGCAATGTTGGTGGGGAGCTTACAGTGGCCTCTGGGGGGAATGGTATAGCATTGTTCTGATACTGCATCATAGTCCCTGAGGCAATTCTGTAAGTCTTGTGTAAATCTGACCAATTTTTGCCATAGACAGGGCAGTTTGTTGGGGAGATGGAGACAGGTTTGATACAAGGATGAGGTTGGGCAGGAATGGGTTGGCTGGTGAAGTCTGTCAGGGTTGATAATGCTTTAGCTTGGGTTTCAGATGTAACGTGAGAAGACAGGAATGATTGGGGCGGCTGAAAAAAGGAAATTTTGCCTACTTGGTTTTGGAGGTAATGCTGGAAGAGGTGAGTGTTGTCAGAGTAAGAAGCTGGGGGGGGGGGGGGGGGTCACGAAAAATTGGTTCCATTTGGCTGGGCTACAATGAGTATTTAACCCCTTAACACTGGGTGACGCCGATCAGCGTGAAAACAAACCGCTCGAAAGCTGGCATGCGGCTGTACCCCGTGGAGGCTCGCCAAAGCGCGGAGAGTCAGTGATTCGGGCTGATGTACCCTACTCACGCACTCAAAGTCGGCGCGCCGCCTTTGTTTGCCAGAGCGTAGAGTTTTTTTGTTTTGTTATGTACACCCAGCGCCATTGGGTTAAGATGTTTGTATAGGTGGAGGTAGTAGAAAGACAGAGACATGTGGAAGAGGGAATAGTTTTAAGTGAGGTAGAATTGTGATGCTGATGTTGATGATGCTGATGCTGATAATAACAGTAATAATGATAATAATAATAATATTAATAACAGCAACAATAATAACAACAAAAATAACACTGTAAGATTAAAATATAAAGAACCTACCAGTTTTGTCTCTCAGCAAAGCTTGGGCATCAACATGAGTCACATCTAGATTCCGTAGCATAACAGCTAAAAAGGGCACTTTTCTGACTGCAGCCTGGCCTCTCAAGCTTGCTCTTCGAAGAACCCATTTAATGTTGAAGACTTCAAGTGGGCACTTGGGATTATTCTGGTCTAATTCTAAGTCATTTAACATCTGCTGCCATGGGCCGCTGGTAAAATCGTTGGCAGAATTTTGTGAACACACCACTTCCTGAAATATAATATAATATCATCATTGGATTAGAAATTACTTCTACTATACAAAAAGGAAAATAAATTAACCTAAAGTTTAAGGGAGCTGTTTCTGGAAATAGCTAACTTCTTTATTTACTGGCTAAAACCAGTATATGACATATCTCTATCTTTACAGATATATAACTTGCTACATCTCAGGTTCATAACTCAATGATTTACAGAAAAAACACACACACAAAAATACATGTTCGCAAAAAATCAAACATACATAAAACAGATGTAACTGAATGACTATGGTCCATGAAAACATTACCAGAGAAACCATATGTAGTCTGGAAACTTTGCAATGGAATGGATGTTAAGATTTCTTTTTAGTTTTATGTAGAGAAATTAAATTTTAATATATGTAGTCTAGACTATTTTTCTATATATCATGGAAATTCTTAATCATTTGAAAAAATTCAATGTATTTGCTCTTTAACCCAACCACCACAGATTTCTGTTCTGTCCCCTGAAGTTTTTTGGTGAATTTTGTTACATACAGATGGCTCCACATGTGCTCAGCCAGCAAGGAGTGTATCAGTAGCCCTAGTGTAATTAAAATCTTAGTAACATTTAAGACAATAAAATAATGCAAAAGACCCTTTCCAAAAGTCAACGAAAAGGGTAAACAAGTGAGATAGGTAGGACTAATAACTGACTCCTTGGTGACTAAGCACTTGTAGAACCATCTATGTGTAATACAATAAATAGATTTGTAATACAATGGGCATGACATGTATTCTTGCTATACATGTCAATTGGGTTAAAATGATGTAAGTCCTGTTAAAACTGGTCAATCGGTAATAAACTAATTTCAAAGAATGTGCAATAAACTATCGTCTTGAGATAGATTGTGCACTGAGGAGTGTTAAAAGTGATTTTCCAGATTAATAATGTGTGTAGATATTTCTATGTTTACTTTCACTCTGCTTTCTACAACACTGGTAATGTATTTTAATGATTTACTGAATGCTAAAATGGTGCCACTGTTTCAATATATCTACCAATATAACTATTATAATAGATCATGAATAGAGAAAAGAAAAAAAAATGAAAATGCAAATATGCCTTCAAGGCACAAATGCATGAAAAAAAATGCAAATTGTTGTCAGCTAATGTGTTGCCAGCCATCAAATAGGTTCCACAAGTGTTGCAAGTATTTTAATCTTAGAGCATTTATTCACATAATTTTGGATCATTGCTAGGTATAAATGTCCAGTGTATTGTCTCCATGAGACTCCCTTAGTAAGAACCATTACTTTATAATTGGCAATGAAAATTTGTTACAAGTTTGTGCAATGATGCACAAATGATGTATAATATTTACAAATATTTCACTGTTCTTTTTATTAAACAGAATTCCTTTATATGATTAAAAATATATAACCTATACATTCTGTATGTGCTTTGTTTAAATATTCATAGGCAAGGTATCCCCATTTTCATTCATAGATATAACAGTGATATATGCATATTCTTCAAAGGCTTGCAACCAAAATTTAAGTACATGAAACTTGAAAAATAATGCCTCTTTTATAGTTGTGGGGAAAGACATACTGGAGGGTTTGTAATTTTAAGTAAAGTATAATTAAATCATAATCCATGCAACACACAGAGCAGTGACTTTTTTATACACTATGAAATACTGCCATTGAGGAATAGTATTTACCTAGCATATTTTTTCACAAAATATAAACTAAATATGTTTTTATATTACATTCTCATATGTCTGGTAGGGGACGAGGGCAACAGATACCTTTACCAACAGAGCAGCATATACTCAGTGCCACACTAGGCTCACAAAATTAATGAATCTTGCTTTGTTTTTGGAGTTTATTTATCTGTTCAAGGTTTTTTTTATTCTTTTTTTTAACATGAGTTGACACAGAAAACTATAACTACCCAGACTGAAGAATGTAAGAAGGGCTACCACCACCAGGACTTCCCAGAAAAGTGAAGGAGAGAGAAGAGAGGGTGGAGGAAGCTCCCGCCGCTTGCCAAGAGCCACCTCTCACAAGAGAGCGATTGCCTGCATCTCCATGCCATTCCTTGCCACTCCCCACCAATTGTTACAACAAATTTCACATGAATTTCTCTACCCAACAGACCATTTTAGAACACTGTGCTGGGTTTAAAAAGAGTAGTTTACTCACAACTTTATTTGGTAGACATTTAAAATCTCTGATACCCTCACCCTCACCCTGGTAGGCCTACCTTTATGA